AAAAGCAATTGCCAGTACATCTTGTTTCCGACTGCAGATTTATTTTCACATAAAAATCTATGTGCAGAAGTTACAGAACTGCGAACAATGCCACGCACCATTCGGAGTCAGCACAAAGCCCACAAGAAGAGCGCAAGATGGACGGACTCAGCTGTCCCTGCCTCCTTGGTGACTGGGGAAGGACATGCAGAGCAGATCTAACAGGTTAGCTGAGTCTTTGGAGGGACAGGAAAGGCCAAGGCCAAGAGGAAAACAGTACAGACCCTGCATGGGGGGCTTTCGGTGAGACAGGAATGGACAGGCCACTGGAAGGAAGGCCCAGGGGTCCCTCCCCTTGCCCAAGAATCCCACACTTTTGTGAGAAAGCATGCCCGCTGTGTCCCCAAAGCAAAGCATAGATACATTTCTAACAGCAAGAGCACAGAAACAGAAGAGCAAAAGGCAAAGCAATCTGGAGATTATGGGTTGATTTTCAGCCCAAGACACAAAGCCAGCTCAGACTTCTGGATTTTTCCATCCTTGTTCACATCGCAGTGACGTAAGAGAATTTCCCGGAACTTATCAAGGTCCACCCCGCTGATGCTGGGCTGAGAACAACAAAAGTAACATGTCAGTAGGCAAGCCGGTGGCAGCCCCACCCTTTAACACCATCCCTGATGCTCCCTAAGCTTAGGGGTGTCCTGCCTTCGAGAGGCTTTGGAGGAGAAAGGCCATGGGGGAGTGAGAGAACAAGCCTATCTCCTCATCCCACCAAATGTCGCCATGGGTGAGTTTCCTGCCAACAGCTTCATTTCTCAGCATATCCCTTCAGGCAAAAAACAAAAAAAACTACTTCCACATCACTTCCCTGCAGTTCTTACCCAAAGCCTGCCATATTAGCAACCATAATATATTTTGCCTCAAACTAGAGGGTCGTGATCACAAATTCTATCTTGCTGCAGTGATGAGAAAAGACATTTTATTATTTCTTTGTATGAGTTTTTTGTGCCTCTAGTTTTAAAAAGGGTTATAGTGGACAAAAAATCGAACTTTATATTTCTGAGCTAGGGATGTAGGATTTATTCCAAGGGATTATTTAGGGGCTAAGAAGGAATTGTGATGCCTGTTAGCTAGGAAGAGATTTTAAGCTCAAAGGCCTACAAACGTGAGCAATGCTTAAATGATTCTCCATAGACTATTTCATTTAATCCTTATGATAACCCTGGAAGGTAAATAATTACATCTCTTTTATAGATAGGAAACAGAGGTTCAGAGAGAGTTTAAACATCTTGCTGGGCAGCAAATGGTGAGGCCATGCTTGGCGCTCCCCACCCACCTCTGCATGGGCCTGCCCCTCTCCATCACCCTCGAGGGCTTCCCGGCCCCAGTAGCACATGCTGGGAAGCTCCAAAGAGTCTCTGAGAAGTGTCTGGAGTAAGGGAGGGAGAGAGAAACTGGATCATTTATGCTAAGCAGCACACACGTCCTTTACGGCCATTGGCCAGGGTTTTACTCTAGAAGCCAATCACTTCAAGGATTCTTAGAACTGGAATGCCAGTGAGGAAGGGAGTCTGGAAGTGTGTGTTAAACCATGAAAGTGATATGAAAGCATACATAGAGAATGGAGACTTAAGGACCATCCACAAGAAAAAGGGAGAGCAGCCAACGAAGACGTGAGAGAGCAATTCTTATCTTATGGATGAGAAAATGGTATGCAAAAGCACGCTAGAAACTGTAGCTTTATGGATATCGGAATTTTGGATAAAGGATTATGAACGTGTTCTCCCCTTATAGGGTTGTTATGAAGATTTGATCAAGATAAGCCAAAAACACATTTCACAATGCCGGACCGATAGAAGGAAGTCCAGGCACCATTATGACTCAGATGAGAAACCAGAAATGAGAAAAAATAGTGTTGCAGGTGGCCTGGAGGCCACCAAGCCCCCAAAAAGCTAAAATGAAAGAGAAGCTAATGGAGACACTGAAGAAGGATTTGATAGACTTTCAGATGAACTCTCTAAATCTCATAAGTCAAAGAGAAAAGATCTGCCAAATGGAGATATCGATGAATATGAAAAAAATCAAAGTGAGTGTCATCCTTAGAAAGTTCTACTCATAAATCAAGTGATAATAAACTAGAGGAGACCCTAACATATAAACAAAAGGAAGGGGCCTTCTCCAATTTCCCTATTTCTAAAGTGACTAACACTTCTGGAAGGTCAAAAAGTAACATATCTCTTTCTTATTCAAGTTAAAAGATTTAATTGCTCAAGCACAGACAGGAACAGGAAAGAGTTTTTCTTGATTGAAAAACTCCAAAGAAATCAAGAAGCAATTTTAAAAAGCTGCTCACCAGAGTACTTAATTTGGCTCCAACAAGGGAACTGGCAAACCAAGTAGCCAAAGACTTCAAAGATACAAGTAGAAAATTCAGTGTGGCATGTTTTTATAGTGGAACATCATATCAAAGCCAAATTAATCATATTCAAAATGGTATTGACATCTTGGTTGGGATCCATAGTCATGTCAAAGACTACCTGGAGAGTGGCCGATTGGATCTTTCTAAACTGTGCCATGTTGTTCTTGATGAAGTGGATCAAATGTTAGACGGGCCGGCCCGGTGGCGCACTGCTACAGTGCGCCGCTTGGGAAGCGCGGTGGCGCTCCTGCCGAGGGTTCGGATCCCACATACAGACCGGTTCCCGCTCACTGGCTGAGCGAGGCACGGGAGCGACACCGAGGGTTGCGATCCCGTTGCCGGTCCCGGTCCGGTACGGGGGCGACACTGAGGGTTGCGATCCGTTGCCGGACACGGAAAAAGACAAAAAGGAAAAAAAAAAATGTTAGACGTAGGTTTTGCTGAACACATTGAAGATATTATCCACGAATCCTACAAAACTGATTCTGAAGACAGTACTCAGACTCTACTTTTTTCTGCAGCTTGCCCACAGTGCGTATATAAAGTTACAAAAAAATACATGAAGTCCTGTTGTGAATAGGTTGACCTTGTTGGAAAAATGACTCAAGAGGCTGCAACTACTGTATAACATGTGGCCATCCAACACCATTGGTCTCAGAGGCCAGCAATTATTGGAGATGTCCTTCAAGTCTACAGTAGGCCTGAGGGAAGGGCAATTATTTCCTGTGAGACAAGAAAAATGTAACTGAAATGGCCATTAATCCGCACATAAAACAGAATGCCCAGTGTATACATGGAGATATTGCACAGTCACAAAGAGAAATTACACTGAAAGGCTTCAGAGAAGGTAGTTTTAAAGTTTTGGTGGCAACCAATGTGGCTGCCCTTGGTGTGGACATTCCTGAGGTTGACCTAGTGATTCAAAGTTCTCCACAGGGCACGGAGTCCCATATCCATCACTCTGGATGCACAGGTACAGCTGGCCAGACAGGAACTTGCATATATTTTTACCAACCAAGAGTAAGAGGTCAACTCAGATACATGGAACAAAAAGCAGGAATTACTTTTAAAACTGTAGGCGTTCCTTCTACAATAGATTTAGTTAAATCTAAAAGCTTGGATGCCATCAGGTTGCTGTCTTCTGTTTCTTATGCTGCTATTGATTTTTTCAGACCATCAGTTCAGAGACTGATAGAAGAGAAAGGGGCAGTGTATGCATTAGCTGCAGCATTAACCCACATTTCTGGTGCATCAAGCTTTGAACCATAATCTTTGATCACCTCTGATAAGAAGTTTATGACCATGACACTGGAAAGCCTAGAAGAAATACAGAATGTCAGCAGTGCTTGGAAAGAACTTAATAGAAAGCTGAGTGGTAATGCTGTGTCCCAAATTACCAGAATGTGCCTCCTAGAAGGAAACATGGGTGTTTGCATTGATGCTCCCACAGCCAAGTCAGAAAGGTCACAGGCAGAATGGATACTCTCCAAATGTGCCAGCCAAATTACCTGAAATTGAAGAATATTATGGTGGGAACTCATTTTCTAATTCCAGACAAAGGAGTGGCTGGTGAAATGGCTGGTCGGGCCAGTCAGGCCAATCAGGTAGACAGAGTAGACAGGGGAGTCAGTCAGGAAATCAATAAGATGGTATAAGACGAAGTGGGAATAGAAATTGATTAGGAAGTGGGGGCCACAGAGTCTGACTGAGTATTTGACAGTTAATCTACCAGTGTGAACTTGCCTATTTCTGCCTAATCATGTACATTACTCACCAAAAATTAGGCCATCGGAATTGAGGTATGCGTCTACTATTTGCAAAGAAGTTGGTCCTATTTTTTTTTTAAGTATTTCACAAGAATGGCTGTAAACGAATCTACTTATCCAGTTATATCCTTGAATTTTAAAAAGCTCCTTTTGTTGTCTCTTTTCAAAGAAAACAAATCTTGCCAAGCTACAAAGTCATAGCAGCATTTTTGATCCCGAGTCCACTGACTCCAGTCAAGTGCTCATTCCACTATTTCAACTCTTCCCACAGAGAAAAGGCTGGCCTGGCGAAGCTGTATGATGGCGATGAATCTAAGTTAAAAAGTCAATGCCCAGTGAGAAAGGAAAACCCAGCCAATCAGATTTCTGAGCCGCTTGATTACTGGAATAGTTTTATAAGTAAACAGAGAAGGCAGTTAGCTGCCTGCAGGATTTGGTATCAGGGCTCTGGGAAACACTCCCATCACCCAACCCTGCCCCAAGTCTTCCTCATTTCCAGAGAAGTTTCTAAACAATCTTCAGTAGCCAACAAAACCTTTCATTCCTTAACTAGAGAGCACATTGAGATGTGCTGATTTACACTGTCCAACGGGGGAAAGGACTGACACCAAATCTATCCCTGATAGCAGGTATTAAATGAGGGAAGGAAGCAGCAGAAACTGGGAGCCAGATGGCAGAGCAGGAAGAATAAATGCCAGAGTGGAGGGAAGCTCGGGGAGATACCAGGAGGCTAAAGCGTCTGGGACCAGAAGGTAAACTTGATCAACTTCTCTGTCAAGGATACACACTGTCAATAGTTTCTCTTTGTTGGGGCTCCCAAAGGATAGTTTCCTGGGTGTCAGTGCCAGGTAGGTGTAGGTGTAGTCCAAGGAAATTTGGCTTGGAGGTTCTGAAAACAGCAAGCTGCACTCTGAGGCCCTGTGTTAGGAGCTCATTTGTGGTAGAGTTGCCAAGTGGGGATGTTTGCTTTTCAGCATCTTCAATGACTTGTTGCTACATCTTTTCTCCAATAAGTGGCACCCGGCCCCAGAACCCTTTTGGCAAGTCCCCATTCTTAAAAAAGACTTGAGTGGTAGTCATTTACAAATTAGCATGAATTTGACAGTGTATGTACCTCATTCAAACTATTACAAGCTTTTTTCTTTTCCTAATTGAAGAATAGTAGGCTTTCCTGCCAAAGTAATTATTTCCTTCGAGTGGGAAATATTTTGGTAAGTGAACGGGGGCAAGAGGAACACAAATGTGGACGTATGTCAGGGAAGTTTCTTTGGACCTTCCGAGTTATTTATTTATTTATTTATTTGTCTTTTTCGTGACTGGTAAGGGGATCGCAACCCTTGGCTTGGTGTCGCCCGCACCCCGCTCAGCCAGTGAGCACACCGGCCACTCCTATACAGGATCCGAACCTGCGGTGGGAGCGTCG